ACTGATTGAATGTATTTTTAGTCCAGTGCCTGTATATAAGATTAGTATTGACCAAGTTCAGAGGCTGTCATATGTGGATCAACTTAGTTTGTTGTGTATTTTCAACAGTTTCAATATGAAAAATAACTTTTATATTGATTCAATGGATTTATTGCATTTTGAAAGAAACAAGTGTCATGGATTTATTGTATTTTGGGAAAAAAATGATCAGTTTTTATAATAAATCTTTGAAAATCAAAATCTGGATTTGAATTTTTAATGTTATTATAATCTAAAGATGCTATGTGAAAGTTTGAAACAGAAAATAGTGGTTTTCATCTTGCCACTCTCTTGGTAAAGTAAACACATTTTTACTCAAATCAATCAAAATGGATTTATAGCGTTTTGGAACCAAACTCTTCACACACACATATATATATATATATTAGTGCTGTCAATCGATTAAAAACTAATTAATTGCACATTTTTGTCTGAAAATTTATCACGATTAATCACAATTAATCCCATCTAATATTAAAGTTTTTAAATATATTTTTATATTGCAATAATTTCACATTCAATCTTCAAATTAATGTAGAAACAATATAAAGAAAGTATATTTTTTATATTTGTTTAATGCCACCTTTTTTCACTGAAGGCAAGTATCACTGATACCAACTGATATCTGTATGATTATGTCACGAATTCGGTTCATGGACTTCCGTTTATTCACCACCAGATGTCACCCTTTCCATTACATTGACTCTCGCACTACACAAACTGTTGCATAGCACCCCAGACTACATTTCCCATCATTCTTTGCACAATTTGCACACTGCCCTGATTGCACTCATTGCACACAGCTGTTTCTAATGATCTCATTCTCTATATAACACCCACTCTAACCACATTTCTCTGCTGAGTATTGTTTAGCCTGCACCCCTTTCCGAGTCTCCCTTGTTTTGCCTTGCCTTGCCTGTTTTTGCGGTTTTTGATCTTTGCCTGTTTCCTTGGATTTCTCCCTCTCGTCTCGCCCCTTTGATTCTGTCTGCTGATCGGTGACCTACGCTAGCCCTAGGACTATTCTTGTGTTTTGCCCGCCATATACCTGTTTGCCAT